GTGCTTAAGTCTGGGATTGCTATATTCTAAATTCTAAAATCTTCAACTTTCATCAAATTCCCACTGAAATCCAAAGAAAGTATATCTTTGCAAGCCATGCTGAAGATGGTATGAGTAAGGTGCTTGATTCTTTGGGATGTTTTTACATCTTGAGCCAAACCAAATTTGAACCAGAACTAATCATGTAGCTTTCATGTTATATTCAATGGAGAGAGACAAGCGATGCTGGAGTGCGAGTTGTCTAGCCTGTACTGGTCACCTAGTTGTGATGACTCAAATTGCTTGTTTTCTGCCCACTGACGTAAAGGAAATCAAGAGTGTGCTGCAGTAAGTATTTATTACGTTGTAGGCATCTGTTAGAGGGGATGAATCCCACCTCTGATGTCTTACTCTGGCCATTTGACAACCAGTTAAGGGATCTAGAATGAAGTTAAAACTTGTTCAGTCATCATTATCACTTGACAGTAATGCAATGCCAGATCCCATTGCTTGTCTGAAGCTTTCCTCAGTGAATTTTCCAAGCACGGTAAGTTATGCCTTTTAAGCAAGGTTTCTTTTTTCTTTTTTTTTCCCTCTGGTTTCATATCATTTGAACAGTTGAGATTGTTGGAAAGTGCATCTGGTTTTGGAGGCTCTCCCTCTGAATGGCCACGCACATGAAAGCAGCTTGCTTTTCTTTAGAATGAGCTCTGCTGCATCACACGTTCACTCCTGACACCCAATATTTGGAATTCAGTGTGGGATAAATAATCCAAGCTTTGCTTTAATCAACCTTGCAACTCCTGGAGTGTGAAACTACAGGCAATTTCTGATGGGGTGCAAACTCCAGGCTGTTACCTTATTAAAATCAAGATTTCATGGGTGCAGGCAGGATTGCGTGAGGGGGTGAGAACCTCCCTGATGGAGCAGGAAGAGGATGGGCAGATATTGAGATAGAACTCTGTCTCCACTTGACTGGACCAATGAAATAAATCAACTAAAAATACTCATTCATCTGAGGATTTCCTCTTCGACCTTGTCTTTATGAGGGGAATTTTGCAAACTGTTGTGATGATGGTGCAAAGTCTAACAGAGGTAAACCACTTGGGTTTTGCAGAACTTGAACTGCTATGTTTTTCCTTACATGTAGGGCTCATCTACCATGTGACTCCTCATTAGCTCTTTGAAAATGACTGTGCCTTGTCATTATGCATGTTTAATGCGTGGTTAATCAGTAAAGGCTTTTCTCTGTAGAGTTATTCCTGATGAGGCATATCCAGAGCACACACCCGTGGATTTAAGATCATTTTAATGTCTACTACTGCATTGTGCAAAGGACTCTGATCTTGACGGCATGTATAGTCAAGGGAGGGAAGTGTTAGAGCATCTACTGCAGATTCCTGACATCAAATCTGCCTCTATGTCTCCGTTGACAGTAGGGAGGTGGTTGCTGGCAATGCAAGGAAGTAGGTGGTGTGAATCTGTCAGTGCTGTCCTGACCTTAGACACCCAAGACCAGCTTCAGCGATGTAGTAGGTGGCCTGGACACAGCAAACTCACTCACATAAGGTAGAGCTGGCTACTTCTATTAGCAATGTTGGAGCCAGCTGTAGAGAAGGATGAACAATCTGTAGACATAGTTTTCTAATCTAGGTGAAACTTTGTGTAGAGGGGAAAAAAAAAAATCCCATCTTTGAGTCTAGGACCATGAGATCTTACTGTATTAGTAGGAGGAGAGTTAATCTCTTAAGAATGACTGGTACCCTTTGTACGGTTTTTATAGTGGCAGGTGTTAACTAATAGATTTGGGCTGGGTGTATTCTTTAAATAAATACTTTTTTTGAAAGCTATCTCTAAGCTGCAATTCTGCTGCTAAATAAGGAATGCTAATGAATGTCCTGTCAACCAAAGATCATATCTATTCCCCTAGAGTTATTCCAGTCTCTAGCTTCTTACCGCAGCTTTGGTTCTCTTTAGGTCATGGCAGTCTTTGATACTCTTCCTTAAATATGATAAGCATATGATGTTTCTGTATAACTGAGTTCAGGGTTTTAAATCTAAAGTAGTGAGTATCTCTTCGTAGAAAAATGGTGGGGAAAAAACAGAATCCTGGGAAGGATGGATGGAAATCTCATCCATGAGTCCATTGTCCTGAAATGGTGGTGCTGGGAGTCCTGGAGCCAATTCCTCTGTGACCATGAAGAACATCTCCATTAAGCAAATTCTGATCTGTCTTGGTGGAAGGTTGCAGTGGCCACATGCTAGAGAAGCGTTGCCCCTTTAGGTTGCTGGGGAGATAGTGGAATATCTTAATACTGCTCCAACACTCTTGCCCCCTTGCCCTTTGGGCCTCTTTCATGTAAATCCATGTATGAGCAGATTTAGTTCTTGCACCCAAATTTGAATGGTATCAAGACCCCTATGTAGCTTTGAGTCAGTAATATAACAGTAAAGCTGATGAAAAGGAAGATCATTTATTACAGGAGAGACACCCAGTATAGGCTGTCTATATTTAGAGATCATGGGCCTAAACCTAGCATAAATTGAGCACGAATCTGGAGTCGTTCCATGTGCTCCAGTGAAGATGCTTTGGATTCACGCTAGTGTAAATGAGATCAAAATCTGGCTGCTTCTCGAAGATGGCCGGAGAGAGCGTGAATGAAATCCCCAGCAAAAATAGAGACTAGCTCTCAGAAACGAGCCCCCCAGCTGGCACGACTTGTCAGAGTACTGGAGCTATTGAAAAATGCTGCAGACAGAAAATGAATTAGAGGATAAAAAAGTGAAAATGAGCTGGCAGAATCTTTAGGTGACTCATCAGGTGCATCTTGTAAAGTCTCTTTCTGAGAAGTAATGAAATCGCATGTTCTAACAATATTTGCACTGCAGCAGGAAAATGCATAAATATTGGGATCAATTAATGAAATTAGATAATTTGACCAAAAAAGCCATAGCGCTGGCTCAGAAACCATCCCTTTTCCTTTTTGCTAGTCTTGGTGCTTGCAGTTAGACTGGAAAATCATGTGTTTTCATTTCACTTCTAAGATATGCAAGACCTGCATAGCCACGGGGGTTCTGGGAGACTGTGTGTGGTCACCTGCAGCTCGAGGACTTCCACTTTCACCCCATGGAAGTCCTTGAGCTGGTGGGTAGGCAGGTCCAGAAAAGCCCCGGCAGCTGTCTGTCATGCAGACTCCCACCCTTTGGATTTTAGCTTTGGTGAGGGCAGACACATCTTGTCTCTGCCAGCCACAAAGGTTGTCTCTTTGTGTCCCTCAACCTCTGTTTTTCAACTGTGAAATGGGGAATAATGATTTTCCTTAAAAAGGGACATTTTCCTTGGGAAAGAGCCCTGTCAATATGTGTATCAGCCTATGACATTTAGATATTCCAGTAACTCATTGCAGGCGGTGGAGTTCATCACGGAGCTTCAGGTTGGGAGAGGGCTGAATTTGGAATGAAATACTGGGATTACTGGTATCAGTGGGTCAATTTATGCTATTACCTGAATTCCAACTATATTTTCATGGATCTATATTTGGGGAAGGCACTAGATCTTGGGTGAAGGAGAATGGCAGAAAGGGGCTTCGTTTATACTGTAATAATGCTAAAAATCTTAAGCACGAATGCCTGTATTGCAGAATACGGGCAAGGCACTTGAGGAGGTATTCTGTTGGGTAATCACAAGCTCTCCAAGCAAAAAGAGCTATTGCCATCTTCAGATTTATCAACAGCAAGAGCAGATCTCATCAGGTTAGCCTACCCTTGGTTTGGCACTGGTACAACTGTTGTTGGAATAATTTGTCTAGTTTCTGGCATCCTTGATTCAAGAGGATGTTGACAAATTGGAAAGATGTAAAAGAGCCACGAGGGTGGTTAAAAGATTGGCAAACGCGCCTTGCCAACGAAACAGCCAGTCTCCTGGCTCGGATGGATTTTTATTTTATTTTTTTTTCTTTAAGCAAAGGTTAAAGGGTGGCTTTAGCAGCTCCGGGTACCTGTGTGAAGAACAAAAATAGACAGTGCTGGAGGCTGTCAGACAGAGGTGTAACACAAGCTGGTGCCTGGAAGTTGAAACCAGACTTGTGCTGAACAGAACAGTTTTTAATAGTAAAAGCGATGATCAGTTGCGATATTTTACAGGAGTCCTGGTTTATAATTGTAGAGAAGGATGAAATACATCAAAATCGGGATTTTTTTTTTTTTTTTGAGATTATCATTTGCATTTAGGCATAATTCATGGAGGAAAGCCCTCTGGCTTTATTAAGCAGAGGGCAAACTATGGGTTTATGGACATGCCAGAGCATCTCTTGATGTTGTGTGCCTACCCATTAGCTTTACCTGCACCTCATGTAGGATGTTTCTTCTCGGTGCTTGTATATCTCCACTGGCTGAGCCTGATTTGAAGTGTTTTGATGCTGCTGAATTACAGTAAGTAAATAACAGTAGGCACTCATGAGAGTTTTAAATGAGATTTATTTTTCGTTTTTGCTCTTCACGAGCATTTTTTGATGCAGGTGTTTCCCCTCTTGTGAAAAATGAAAACCAGTGGCTGGCTTTTTCTGAATACAGGTTTTATTTGAATAGATACTATTTATGTTTCCCTGCAGGGCTTGCTCCACCTTTGTTCCCCAGCAAATCTCAATTTCCGCAGGAAGCTCGTCCAAGCAGAGTCTGTGCTAAATTTACCTTTAGATCTATGTACAGCAGAGTTACTGAGACAATTCTTGATTTGTAAATCAGAGCGTGAAGTCTGGCTGTTGTTATTCTTTCTTACGATTCAATATAAGAAAGAATATTTTCTCTGCCTTACTGGTCTTACTGGCCACATAAATTTACGGGAGCGCAGTGTGTGTAATGGATCTTTAAATACATCCGGGAAAGATGCAGAAAATGAGTCTGTTTTAAAGCAATCCCTCCTGTTCATTTACTACAGCAGCTAAAAGATGAATATTTGGGGTTTGGTGTAAAACTACATTGGTCGTTTTTTTTAAATGCAGTGTTCTCTCTTCTTTTTCTAGCTGTGGGAAGCTCAAAAAATAAAGCAGGTAATACGCTTTTTTATATTTCATTATCGTTTTCAACCATTGCTGCTTTTTCTCCTTTCTGCTAAGCGATGCTGTCCTCTTCTCCATTATTGACTTTGCCAGTTGCTGTTTTGTCTTACCATAGAAATGTAAATGTAGAGAACACTGTTGCCACCAAAGAGTCTGATTTTTTTTGTGTGTATTTATATATTTTGATGTCTTCATTTTCTCCTTCCTGTCTAGTCAAGAGATTTCTTGTCTCCAGCCTTTTGAAAATAGTTTGACAGTTCTTTGGTAAGGCTTGTAACTGTGTCATACCTTCCTCCTCTGCAGTCCCAGATCGCTTGGGAATTGACTTTTCATCCCCAGCCAGTTAATGCCGGTGCAACCTCCTGGGCTCATTGTAAAACTTGGTAAAAATGGGCCAAGCAAGCTTCATTGTGTGTTTATTGGTAAAACAGATTTAGTTTTTCTGTGGAGGTTGGGCTGTCCACAGCCACCAGCATCGGCTGAGAAGCTGCAGTTACACATAAAGGTTGAATTATCTGGCAAATCCAAATTCCGTGGCACTTAATGGGATTTTATTTGAGTCACCCTTATGGTGACAACTGGAACAGATCATACCTCCGTGTTTTTATCCCAACTCACGCAGATCCTGAGGTTTCCTACAATCTGCCGTGCGTGCTGATGAGGGCATACCTGCAGATGAGGAAGATGTTCCTGGGTCTGAATCTGTCTGCTGTGGCTGAGCCCCACAAGTCCTTACAGGGGCCTCCTGTGACCCATTTACTTCAAGAGCACCATAAAGTGATTTACACTCTTGGTGTGTGGTCTTTGGGGACATTATAGTACCAAGAAAGAGCCACTTTTAAAGTTTCAGGTTAAGTTATTTACTTCTAAATTATTAACTTACCCTAAATTGTTTAAGAAGAGGGGAAAGCAGGTAGGAAGGAGGGTTTGTGGAGGCTGCCAAACAATAGCTGCCTTGGGTCAGTGCTGCAAACACAAGGAAGGTGCCAAGATGCATGAAGTCCCCCTGTACTTTCTGGTTGAAGGTGCTGTTTGTAGAGGCTGAGTGGTGGCTTTGCTGTGCCTTGTCAACTGTTGCTGTGCCTTCACTGTGTCTGTTTGCTGGTTGTTTTATAGGCCATCATCCATCCCGATACAAATGAGACCATCTTCATGCCTTTCCGAATGTCAGGTATAGTATGTCCCAGTCGGGCAATGATTAATTTTACTGAGAGTTTGTACAAAATGTTGTTGGTTTTTTTACCTGTTTTTGAATTGCACCATGTAAACGTTAGGACCAAGATCAGAAAATAATCCAAATGCCTAAATCCCTTTGCAGTCAAGGAAAATTAGAATCCTAAATGCCTATGCAAGATCAAGTGCTTAATATTTTCCCTTCCTTCAGACATTTTAACATGGATTCAAGCTAATATCCTTTCTGGGAGTTTTGAGGTATCCATCACTATAATAGGCACTTTACCTTTGTAGTAAACAGCAAAGCTTGATGCCCAAGGAACAGCTTAGAGTTTTAATCTCCATGGGAGAATGGGATGAGCCCTATTTTTCTATGTGTGGTAGTACCTAATAGCCATGGCTTTGGGAGTCCAGGAAGGATCATCTTGTTAAGCCCAGCTTAACCAGGCTGCTTAATGATTAAATTGTTGCTGCCTCCTTCCCGCTTTGGGGTGTCCCTCTGCCAGGCAACTGCCTCTGCTGTGGGTTGAATAGCAGCTCTCTTGAAGATGCAAGTGCAGATTTGTTCCTTTCCCAAAGGACCTTTTTGAATAAACAGGACCTTTTCCATATTTTAGGGGGTAACATCTTCACCAGAATACTGGGCACAGGGGAAAAATAATGCATTTGGTGGGTTTTGTTCTCCAGTTCATTGAAGAAAGGTGATTTTGAGGGTGAAGTGAAAGGGAGAAAAGCCAGTACTTACTCCTTTCCTGCCATGTTCTGTATTCTTTTTTTTCCCCACATTTTTCTTCCTCTCAGGTCTTTGCCCTTTCCAACTGTAAATTGGATCCATGAGGCTTAATTCAGTAATGTTGGTAAAATGCTCTGAGACCTTCTAGTGGAAGTCATAGAGATGAATTATAATTAGCACAAAAATTGGCAGACTTAGCAAGGGAAAAATATGAAGCATTTGATTTTTGTGGCGCTCAATAAGATTTGGGGGTAATGGTTTATCTCTAATATAGAGAGCTTTAACTTACACCTATGATTAAAATAGTCTCTCTCTCCTCCACGATGCAAATATACTTTCTTCAGGATACTTATACCCTGTTCCTTTTTCTACTGACCTATAAATAAATGAGCTGTCCTGGTATAAAATAGCTAGCGGAGAGGTTGATAAAGCAGATGGAGAAAGAAGGAGGTCCCTCTGATGGTGGCATAGTCCTGCTCCTTAACTGGCATGGGCTCTGCAGCTTGTTAGATGGTTTCATGAGCACCTTCATCCTGCTATTCTGATGGGACCAGCCTCAACAAGAGAGGAAGGGGCACAGAAAGCTGAGGAGTTTTCTCCTGGGTTAGCGAGGGTGGGTTGTGGGAGGGTCTGATGAGCAACAGAGCTGGCACGAGGAAGGGAACAGATTGCGTGACTGAGCCTGGGAAGGGGGGCAGGATCTCCCCCTTTCTGTGGCAGCAAGCCACTAGGTCAGCTCAGTTAGCACCACTGCGGCAGCATCCAGCTCCTCCTGGTTTGGACCAAGCAGTTCCTGGTCTGGGCTGTCATCCCTTCGCTTCTGCTGATTGGAGTTTTTGCTGGCTGCCTAGCACAGCTCAACGACACTGATGCCCTCTGAAGCACTAATACTGTGTACTGGCCCAGACTGGGTTTAGGGTGTAGATGTTAGAAGTTTCAGGGAAACTCTTAGACCACAACCCAAGAAAAGCAAAAGGAGGATGGGAAGGGGATTGCAGAGAAATCAGAAAGCTGCTCTAGTTGATGCTTAGTACACCAGGTGTAGGTCCACAGATGTCCCCGTGGTGGTATGGAGTGGGTGGAATTGAGTGCAGCCTGTCCTGCTGGTTGTGGCTTCTACCCTTAACAGGTTGATGTCTTAGATGTGATTTTTTTTTTTTTTTCCATCCCAAAACCTGCATAATAAAATGCATGCTCTCTTTTTTTTTTTAATAGGTTACATTCCCTTTGGAACACCCATCGTAAGTATTTTAAAATCTCTCCCCACTTTGTTTGTGAGTACCAAAAAATGCCTGTTTTAGCACTCGCAGACAATTCTCCAGATTCCACCTTACCTCCTCGCGACACGTTCACACGGGGTTCCCACCTCTCCCACCACGTGTCAGCAAGGGCTTCGCTGTGTGAAGCCTGCCCTGGGGATGTTGTGCTCAAGGCTATTTATCTATTTAATATTGTTCACCCAGCTCCCTGCAGCATCTTAAGCTTTATTTTTCCCTTCTGGAGAGGGAAGACCAAGATGAGCTCATTGCCTGCAAAATGCAACTTCTGCAACTCCCGGATTTCGTCTTTGGACACTTTTCTTTTTTTTTTCATTTGCATGTTTTACAAGTCTCTTCCTGAATGTGACGAGCTACAGCACGGCGAGGCCGGTGTCGTGTGCACTCATCTTGATTAATTAAAACGGCGAGTGCTTTCTGTGGGGTTATTGCTAAGGGTGTTTTTTAGTTTGAACTTGTTATTGTGAAATTTGTAAGCATTTGGGTGCTCTCGATAGTGAAAGCCAGAAGGGAGATAATTCTGCCTGTCTTCCTAATGCTGAAACCTCAGCTTATCTTCAGGAACAGGAACAAATAATTAACACCATTTTATGAATGGGGAAACTGAGGCATACAGTTTGCCCAAAGTTGGTGCCAGAAGGTCCTCCTGTCCACCAGCTCTTGTCTCAGCTTAGTAGATCATGCATATTAAAGTAGTTGAAGGAGCAAAATCTGCTAAATTGAATCTTCCTAAACCCAGTGGACTGTGGCATAGTAACTCGCTTGAAAGCAGCGATCCTTTCCCAAAGGGCAGTAGCGGGGTTGCTAGCAACTCAAAGCAGAAATCATCACGGCTGCTACTATTTGTTGTTGTGTGTAAGGGTTTGGTGGTAACTTCGTATGGGGCATTTTGAAAGAAAAGGTTAAACAAAAATGAGTTAACGATCAAATTGACAATGAAATCGGCCCAAATCCAGAGCTGTCAGAGGAGCCGAGAGCTGTCAGATGAGCCCAATTTCACTAGCTGTAAAGGATAAACTGGAACCTCTTGTCATTTAAAAAAAAAAAAAAAAAAACCCAAACGTTTCAAATGTTAAAATTAAAATGTAACATTTATGCCAATCGATCTGTGAAATTTAGTGACAAAATTGGCAGCCTGCTCTAGCATAAAAACAGTTTGAGTCTTGCATTTCACATAGGGGGATGGGATTTCCTCAAGAGAGACTTAATGTGCCTGCGGTGGGCTCTGGCTGAGCGAGCCTGGCTGTCCTCGCCCGCGAGGCCGTGCCGTTGCACCCACGCTAATTGTCCCGGTGTTTCGGGGATCAATTAAACACCCTGCATAAAATCCGGCAGAGACGTGATCAGATTATGGGCCAACAGGTTTACTGCCAATACACGATGCTGCCTGTAGACATGGTTATTTTTTAAAAAAAAAAAACAACTCCTATAGCTAATGCAAAATAATTCAGCATGGTTTAGCAAATTGTGAAAGAAATTAAGGTCTTGCTGAAAATAATAATTTCTTTTCTGGCCGAAGCAACTACTGCCCTGACACAACCAAAGCTTGTGTCTGTTTGTTTTTTCCCTAAGTTGCAATCGTTTGCTTTTCTTTTTAGCCTCTGTCCTTTCCACGCTCGGGTTTATGGTCCGACCCCAGGATGGGCTGCAGTGGCAGAGCGGGAACAGGATGGAGTATGCTTAAGTGTAGGGAGAATTTGCCTTTGCCCTCCTAGATATCAGCCCAGGATGGAGCAAATCCAGCCGCTTGCGTTATCTCCCTTTGCTGCAGGGGTGACATGTGGAGGGCAGCTGCTGGGCTGTAGCCTTTTACCCTTGTTTTGTGTTTCGTACCAGGGATGAAGAGGTTTATGGTTTGACCCCAGGATGGGCTGCAGTGGCAGAGCAGGAACAGGATGGAGTATGTTTAAGGCCTTTGCGCTCCTAGATATCAGCCCAGGATGGAGCAAATCCAGCCTTGTATTATCTCCCTTTGCTGTAGGGGTGACATGTGGAGGGCAGCTGCTGGGCTGTAGCCTTTTACCCTTGTTTTGTGTTTCATACCAGGGATGAAGGGCTCCAAGGAGGAAGATTTATCTGCATTTCGGAAATTCAGCCCAAGACATGGGCAGTGAGGGTGGAGCAGAAGCCATGCTGCTGTTCCCACCTGCCACCCACAGCTTTAAACACCTTACTTTCTCCAGCCATTTAAAAATATGTGTGTCTTATTGTGCTTTTGAAGCACATAGAGAAGGCCCGGGTGTTAATAAGTGTTTGCAGATGACTTTTGCTGACAAACAAGGCAGGACTTGGGGCTTCCAAGAGGAGAGCTTGTAATGCAAACGCTCAGTGAGGCTGCTCAGAGCTGACTGATGTCCAAGTTTCACCCTGGCTTTGGAGCCACAAAGGACTGGTTCACACCTGATAGGCAATTAAATTTTGTAGCTGGTACTTTTCTAGTGTTTAGAAGCTTTTTTTATTTTGTTTTCCTTCTTAGTTATTTTTTCCCCTGACAGTAATTAAAAGTGAAACTGTACATTTCTTGACAGACTCTTGCACATATGGAGAGTTTGCATTTAAACGTGCCTCTTTCAGTCATACAGATTTTGGGTGCTCTTTTTTATTTATTTATTTTCCTCTTTTATTTTTCTCGGCGCTCAGCTTCAGCTGACAATGTAAGTAGCTGCCTGCAGCCTTCCCTCTCCTCTGGAGCCTCATTAGCCCGCTGGCTTCAGGAGCGCAAGTCAGTCCTGGGGTGAGGAGGTTCATCGCCTGTTGAATTCGTTTGGCTAAGACCCGCAACGGAGTAATTAATGACAAGATCCGCATATTGAATGGAAGCGGTAAATTAGTGTAACTTGCACAGATTGGCGCTCAGCCAGCGTACAAAGTAGCTGCAACTTCACGAAAGGCTGTAGGAGGAAAAGCTGGAGGAGGAGGAGGAGAAAGGAAAGAAGATGTAAATGAAATCAGGCCTCCCAACCCTATTACCCTTTTGTTTGTTGTTATTTCTCTCTTATGTCCTTAAGCGTAGAAGTTGCCTCCTCTTCAACTGATGCTGCTGCAGATGTGCAGAGATGACTTTAGCTTCTCCCTCCTGATGGCAGGCTCTTCGTGCTCTAACAAGGAAGTTTTCTTTATTCTCAGCTTCTGTAGGAATAAACTTAAAGAAAATGGTGCAGAAGATGGTCCGAGTGTGGGAATGAACTCACAGCCTTCTTGCCCAAATGCTTCGGAGACATTTCAGTTCACACAGGTGTCCTGAAAATAAGTGTATTTAGAATTAAATGGAGTTGTTCAGTCTTTATGCTCTTAACAAAGATTCAGGTGTGATTTTGCACGGTGAAGACAATCTTCTTAATAAACTATCAGACATTTGAGGCGCAGGAGGGGAGAAAATGACAACGATCTTAGGAAGTGTCTCATCTTACCTGTTTCTTACCCAAGAACTCATCTTCCTGCCTGTGTTTGTTTGGTTTATCATTGGGAATCCCTTGCTTTGCATTCCTTTCCTCTTCTTCAGCTTCTTATACTTTGAGAAGACAGCTTGCCATAAGACAAGGTAGGAAGGAGTCTGGCACTGCTGTGTTGTGTGTAAGAGGTGGGGTCTTTAAAGAATTGCAGAGGGTGTGCCTGTGTGCTGCATTGAGACATGTCTGAAGGATGCTCTCAGGACTGAATAGGCAACATACACGTGTGGCCTTGGGTGCTGCAGTGGGTGACCTTGCAAAGTCTGTGGCATCTCACATTCATGCAGGAGTGGGCACGAATAGGGGATACCACAGCAGTGGGCATGTCTCTCCTGTATGTGCTGAGACAGGCAGCTGTAAGCCTCTGGGAGACAGCGATCGTCTGCCTGAGCTCATAACCCAAGCAAGAGTTTTCGCAGCTCAGAGTATGACACATCAACAATTCTTTTCTCTTAAAACAAAATTCAGGCTCCCAAACAGGAGCACATGTGCTTCCAGGTGGCACTCCTGTCTTCAGATGTTCAAATGGGATTTCTTTCTTGTGCTTGAAACAGTGAATGTGCCAAAGGAAAATAAGAAAAACCCCCTTCACTGCCAGTAGCAACAACTTTGAACTCTTGCATTCATGCAATGTTTGTGTTACCCTCCAGAAGTACCTGGAGTAAAGAATTGATTATATTTTAATGAACTAATCGTTGGGCAGTATCTGCTGCCAGACTTTTTGCAAGGTGTGTTGCAAGCAATCATTAAAGATGCAAATTTTTCACGGGCAGCTACATTACCCAGTTTCATCACTGGAAAATGAAGAGACAATAGGCTGAAGGGAAGTTCAATAACTATAGCGAAATAAAGCCGTATATGAAGATAATTTATTCAAGTCAACTTTTTTCTTAGTTTGCTGTTTGCATGCCTAGAAGAGCACCAAAAACAAACTAGCAAAGTGTTTACTAATAAGAAAATCTCTTCTCTTGCAGGTTGTTGGTCTTCTCTTGCCCAACCAGACGCTGGCATCCACTGTGTTTTGGCAGGTAACACTTGTCAGAATGGGTGGGGAATGTGATGAAAAGGAAAGCAGCAGCTGACTTGTGTCTAGAGGACAAACTGATGCATGTGGCCTTTCTGCAGTGGCAAAGCTTTAGTTAATGGGGCGCTGATGTGGCTGGATATAATTAGGGAAAGGTTTGGTAGGTCTGGAAGGGGCTATAAGCAAACTATTGGATCCACTTTCCAGCGCCTGGCTATTTATGCCATCTCAATGGAGATGCAAAATTGCTCAGGATCTCAAAAATCAACCTTTTGGACCCATTTTGTACAGGTGTAAATGATTGCACAGTGTGTACTTCTATGAAAATGTAGGCCCTTAAGCTCACACATCTGCTGTTTTGAAGACACCTTGTCAAGTAGTTGGGATCTTCCTTGGGGAGTTCCCATTGAAGTGCCATGTGTGTGCAGGGCTGAGGCATCCCGTGCCCAGGAATTTTGGGAATAGCTGTGCATTACAAAGGCAAGGCCTCTGCATTCAATGCGCTACAGGGACTTTGGGGGGAAAAAAAGTGTGTGTGTGTAGGGAGGTATTGGTGTTATTTCCCATTAAAATTCTGGGAATTAAGAGTTACGGGAGGAAGCGTGCATGTGAATGAGTTTTATCCATAGTAAACACGCCCCTTAAGTATAATTTCAGCGCTAACTGAAATGCAAAACCAAGTTACTTTCAGACTTATTTTTAGTTGTGAATGTCTTTTTATTGTCTATAGTGTAAGTGATGATAGAGAATTATGCGGTTAAGAAATATCAAAGCAGAATGGGATCTGTCTAGGATGTTAGAAAGACTGCAGAACTGAGAATATATTGGTATGTGCCAGTAACTTGTAGTTTGGTGTATTTAGGTTTAAATTGTGCCATGTGGCTTTACCTGCTGGGAGTGGGATATTGGTTGGAGACATCTAGACTCATTCATATTTTTGAAAGCAACTTGTCTCACCTGTTTTTAGACATCTAAGATATAAAGAGTTGGCTTTTGGAGAAGTTGCTCTTGCGCAAGTGAGGAGCGAGCCAGCCTGGATAGCTGGCTTGGGCTGGGTGCCTTGTAAATGGCTTTCCTGAGGAGCTCCTATTCACACCATCACAGTGTAGCTGGGAGAAACTTTTGGCTTTGAAAGGATGGAATAATACTTTGAAACTAGAAAGAACATTTCAAACACAGAACTGGAATGAGCCCACTCGAGAGGGAGGTTGCAGCAGGCAATTCCAGCAACCGAAGCCCCCCTGGGCCACCACCACTTGCCAAGTTTCTCAGACTCTTTCCTCCATGATTCCTGCTGATGGGCATACATGGGTCACTCCTTTCTGAAAAATACAAGTAGGAGTAGCAGCAACCTAAAGAGGCAACATCCAAAAAAACTTGGGAGGGTGTCAAGTGGCCACCTGGGAAGACAATGGATTAAAGAAACAGGTAGTGGCAATATTTTCAATCTAGAGACAGCTTAAACTCCAGATTTAAGACAATACCTGAGGAGTATGTCTACACCTCTCTGAAAAGAAGATTTATCTGGGTAAATAGCACAGGATTTAGGGATGATGCATATTACTGCATTAACAAACACTGAGTCCTTAGGAGCAGGCTTGTACAGTGAAGCAGTTGTTGATGATGCCCAAAATGTACATGTCTCAGGGTGGCTGTAGCCTGGTCCTGGGACCTACTTCTGTAGATGAGAGCTGTATGGGAGTTAAACAAACAAACAAACAAACAAACCACATCTGGAAAATTGAGGTGGATTTCCAGCATGTATTGGCAAGTGGACTTTTTAAATTTTTTAAAAAATTACTATTTAAAGAAAACAAAAAAGCAGGGTTAGGTAGATCCAAAGTTCCAGGCTAGAGAGCTGGTAAGCAGGAAAAACGTGCTCTTAGACCATGAACTTGGCAATGACAGGGCTGATCCCTGTGTTTCAATGCCTCATTTCCCTCTATCTCCTTACCCTCACTTTGTTCCTCCTCCTCCTCCATCTTAATTCTGGCCACAGCTGGAGAGGAGTTCAGTTCTGACATGCTCTGATCTGCGAACATGGTGTTTCGGGGATGAAAACTATTAATTTTCTTTACATTGCCAGCAGTTGCTGTGGGTAAAACCCCTTCAGGAGTGTGGTGCTACTCATCCTCAGCTACTGCCATGCTGTTTGGTGACAAATCCTGCTCCAAAAAGTTGTGAACAGAAAGGCTAGTTTAGTGACAACAATTTACATAAGATGGTACAACTGTTCATCTCCTGTTCCTCAGCTGAAACCTCCCATGACCCTCTGTTTGAGAACCATGGAGCTTAATAAGTGACTGGCAAAATGGCTGCTGGGCTTAGTGCTGCGACTTAACAGCAGTATGGATTTGGTGCTGATGAAAATAAAGACCAATAGCACTGAGGTGTTTTGTGGAGGTGAATTGGGCCAGGAGAAGAGCTGCACGTCAAGCCCTTTGGGTACCCAGTGCCTTGGGATTTCTGTCCCTCAATTTGAAGAGCAGTAAATCAGATGTGAGGCCTGCATGAGCCTTTGAAAAGAGGTGGCAAGTTGTGAGCAGGTCTAAAGGGAGATGAGTTTTCCTGTGCTGTGGCACTCCCACATTTAGATTATTTTTTTTTTATTTTCTTGAAGTTGTGCTTATGCCTGTCTCTTCTTGTTTCCTCTTTAGTGGTTGAATCAGAGCCACAATGCCTGCGTCAACTATGCAAACCGCAATGCGACAAAGGTGAGGAGACCCAACATATGCGGTGCATGCAGCGCGTTAGGTCTGTTTTGACGTGGAAACATAAGTCTTGTCTCTTCGCTGTTAATAGAAACTCCGTGGTGAATTTATAGATTGGCCATTCTCCTGTGACTTCCATTTTAAACCTCAGCTGTGAATGGCATGAGGATCTCGAAATCACTTGAGGCGCACAAGTAACGCTCAGTGCTTCTGAGCTGAACCAGTATATAGTTGTAACTGGTATGAAATGGTTGAATTTGCTAAGTAAATGAGCACAAAGCAAAACTGGGGTTTTGGATAGCAGAAGGTGGCTCTGTGATCACGCTGCCATCTCCTGAGGACTTTATGTGCGCTACCAGCAATGGTGCTGGGAAATGGTGGAGCTGCTCCCGCTCTCCTCCATTGCTTTAGCCTTCATTCATCCCATGTCAGGATGTGGGAAGCTCAAGACGGGAGGCTGAGTTGGAAAACATCCAGCTCATTGAGATAACATTTCAAAGACAAATATTTAATGTGGAGAGTTTGGGGTTCATCACTAGTGTATAAGAATGCTAATTTTGTACCATTTGCTGAATTTCATTCACATACTTCCTTTAAGCTGCTATTATTATAATTTTCTGATGCCAATTAATTTTCCATTCCCTTTAACCTTGCTCATGAGGCTACAATTTTCCTTGCTTTTGCCGCTGCTAGATGACAGACCATGTGTCACAGAACAATATGACAAAATTAAACCTGTCTCGGGTTTAAAACAAATAAAACAAAAAGAAAACAAACAAAAAAAGCTTGGTTGCATTTTAATAACTAGAAATTTGTTTATTGAAAATATGTTTTGTTTTTCTTTCCAAAGCCTTCTCCGACATCCAAGTTCATCCAGGGCTACTTGGGAGCTGTCATAAGTGCTGTCTCAATAGCAGTGGGTAACGCTTTATATCTATATATTTCACTACTAAGTAACTGCTCCCTTACAGTAGTACTGCAGTGCTTTTGAGATATTTGTTTGAATTGCCAAGCATGTTTATCTTTTAATTGACAGAATTCAGTCTACATAACCAGAAAATATTTTAACCATGAGGTGTCTCTGTCCATGCATGCCCAAACTTTTCAACAGAAGGAGACTTCTACTGCTGGTGGCTTCCAGCATGTCCTGCACCATGCACTGCCTGTGTCTCTGCACTGTGCCTTTGCTGCTGGGTGAACTCAGATTATCCACACGTGCGTTAACTCGTGGTGAAATAGCCTAGTCCAAGTTAAAAGAGCAACTTTGGAGCTGCAGAGTGATAGTGTGACAGCTGACATGCTGAACAGAGTGAGGCTTTTGGAGATACTGCCTTGGTGGGTCAGCTCCTGGAACTGAAAGAACCACAGCGTTCAGAATGACATCTTTCACCTGTGGACAGCGTTCAAGCTAGAAATGGTGTTACAGTCCTAACTGAAGTAATAAGAGAGGAGCTTGTAACGTTGCTAAAGTCATGGTCTTGTGGTGCAGTCCTCAGGCTTTTAATACTCAGATACCCCAGAAGCACAAGTTGACATCTTTAGCAGGGGCAGCTAATTCCCAGGGAGGCAGGTACATTTTTCAGAAGCAACTTATGGAAGTAATTTCTTATATTGGATTTTCAAATAAGCCTCTAAAACCTATGGTTTTACCTTTTCTACTGGAACATTAAAGATTCCATGGCAGTTTGTATATTTTTTTCCCTCTGGCCAAGATGTTTTTCCTTTTTCTCAAGCCACAGACATCTTTTTCCAGGCAATGGTATCTGGGGTTTTGGATAGCAGAAGGTGGCTCTGTGATCACGCTGCCGTCTCCCGAGGACTTTATGTGCGCTACCAGCAATGGTGCTGGGAAATGGTGGAGCTGCTCCTGCTCTCCTCCACTGCTTTAGCCTTCATTCATCCCATGTCAGGATGTGGGAAGCTCAAGACGGGAGGCTGAGTTGGAAAACATCCAGCTCATTGAGATAACATTTCAAAGACAAATATTTAATGTGGAGAGTTTGGGGTTCATCACTAGTGTATAAGAATGCTAATTTTGTACCATTTGCTGAATTTCATTCACATACTTCCTTTAAGCTGCTATTATTATAATTTTCTGATGCCAATTAATTTTCCATTCCCTTTAACCTTGCTCATGAGGCTACAATTTTCCTTGCTTTTGCCGCTGCTAGATGACAGACCATGTGTCACAGAACAATATGACAAAATTAAACCTGTCTCGGGTTTAAAACAAATAAAACAAAAAGAAAACAAACAAAAAAAGCTTGGTTGCATTTTAATAACTAGAAATTTGTTTATTGAAAATATGTTTTGTTTTTCTTTCCAAAGCCTTCTCCGACATCCAAGTTCATCCAGGGCTACTTGGGAGCTGTCATAAGTGCTGTCTCAATAGCAGTGGGTAACGCTTTATATCTATATATTTCACTACTAAGTAACTGCTCCCTTACAGTAGTACTGCAGTGCTTTTGAGATATTTGTTTGAATTGCCAAGCATGTTTATCTTTTAATTGACAGAATTCAGTCTACATAACCAGAAAATATTTTAACCATGAGGTGTCTCTGTCCATGCATGCCCAAACTTTTCAACAGAAGGAGACTTCTACTGCTGGTGGCTTCCAGCATGTCCTGCACCATGCACTGCCTGTGTCTCTGCACTGTGCCTTTGCTGCTGGGTGAACTCAGATTATCCACACGTGCGTTAACTCGTGGTGAAATAGCCTAGTCCAAGTTAAAAGAGCAACTTTGGAGCTGCAGAGTGATAGTGTGACAGCTGACATGCTGAACAGAGTGAGGCTTTTGGAGATACTGCCTTGGTGGGTCAGCTCCTGGAACTGAAAGAACCACAGCGTTCAGAATGACATCTTTCACCTGTGGACAGCGTTCAAGCTAGAAATGGTGTTACAGTCCTAACTGAAGTAATAAGAGAGGAGCTTGTAACGTTGCTAAAGTCATGGTCTTGTGGTGCAGTCCTCAGGCTTTTAATACTCAGATACCCCAGAAGCACAAGTTGACATCTTTAGCAGGGGCAGCTAATTCCCAGGGAGGCAGGTACATTTTTCAGAAGCAACTTATGGAAGTAATTTCTTATATTGGATTTTCAAATAAGCCTCTAAAACCTATGGTTTTACCTTTTCTACTGGAACATTAAAGATTCCATGGCAGTTTGTATATTTTTTTCCCTCTGGCCAAGATGTTTTTCCTTTTTCTCAAGCCACAGACATCTTTTTCCAGGCAATTTTTCTGCAAATAGATTGTGCTATGGGAAGAGGTCAGCGCTCAGCCTGCTCGTGGCACTAGGTTCCCCAATTCACCTTGGGGGAAGAAGCTGCATGGGCTTGTTTAGATTTGTTTGAAAGGTCAAATGTTTGTCTAGACCAGGCTGCAGATTGTTAGAGCTGAGATGGGAACTGGCAGTGAGTGGTTTGGCACATCATGTCCACAGTGGACAGCAGAAACTTTGCAGAAGGCATATCTCTGTGTTCTGCAGCTGCTAGACAGCTTTGCACCAGGACTAGCAAAGGGCATAGAGCTGGTGAAGTGCCCTGCAGTTTTGAGTGGTAACTCTCTGTTTTATTGGGTATGGTTCTGTTTGATAGTTTTCCGTAGTGCTGCCTTGGCTTGCTCACTGGTTGCTGCACTGCTCCTCTGTTATCCCCTCGCTGCAGAATTAACCCGGACTGTGCACAACCAGCCTTATGTTGGTGTGACTTCCTGTGCTTCATAACCCCATGAAAATGTGTCCACACCAGGCTCCACGCTTTTGCAGCTGAAGTACAATCTGAGACCCTGCCCCACCAACCTCAACGCTTCGGTTAGCAGCCATTCTCTGTCCCCTGTTTTCCAGAGTAGCATAGGAGAGCTTGACTATCCTCCTTAGGTCAGAATTTTTTCCACCTTGTGAATTAATAAAGCAAAGCTCTCCAGCTTGATGTGCTGCTGCCACTCACAACCTGCCTTCCAACCCCCAGTGTGCTGCAGCAGAGGGATGATGACTGGTTCCACATTGTTGGCATTAATGTTGCTCTCCATTTTGGCTACAGGGGCAGATAGAGGCAGGAGACACTGAGAAGTGATGTTGGCAGAGTTTTGTCACCCTGAGAAGCTGACAGGCTTTGGTAAGGAAACCAGTTGGGCAGCGAATGGAGATGTCCGTGTTGGGACAGCTGATGCAGGTCATTAAAAATCTCTGATTCCTCCTAGGCTGACTCCTAGGCAGAGAGATAGGTTCAGACTGCAGAAGTGACCATCAATGGTGTTGAGAGAAACACTTTTTCTCTGAAGCAGTGTGAAAAACTACACCAAGACTTGTAGGTGAAAGAAATTGCAGCAAACCAGCAGTGGCCTGCTGTTACTGCAGGGTGGCTGTCACCGCTGGTGACATGGGTGGCTCATCAGTCTGCTGATGGTAGATCAGCTCTTTGTCCTGTGGTGGTTTACACCTCCATTAGTTGTATCATTTACTCCCTGGTGGTGAAGGAGCTGATGGTCTGTACAGAGCAACAAGCTTTGAATAAATGCAGAAATGGAAACAGTGCTGGGATTTATTTGTCCACGTAACTTGCAGGTGCACCTCCAGCTGGAGCCCCAGTACCTGGTTATCTTGCACACCTCGGCCACCCATCACGGGGACAGTTTTAAAAGCACCATAAGGAAAGATGATGCTGTGGTGTTCTGTACTTAGAGAATTTCGAACTTGTGCAGGACGAAGTCTTCCTGCAGCGGTGCAGATGCCAAGAGGGTGTTGCTGTCTTCTTGTGTGAGTCCCACAACGACCCCGCCAGACAGGGCTTCCACGGGGATGACCTTAGCGTGTGTGAAGATTACCATGAGTTCTGAAGATTACCATGAGTTCTGCAATAGCAGTGGTTTTGTGGCTCGGGTGCTGAGGGTCAGAATGTTGCTATGGGGAGGCAGGAACGTTCCTCAGATCCATCGCTGTAGTTGGGGAAGCAGGGAAGATCAGCAGCCTTCATGGATACTCTCTCCTTCCCGATGTTGGAAGGAGGTCTGCTTCCAAAGTGGAGCATCCTATGGCACATAGGGTGTGCAAAAACGAGATAAAGTCGCTGTGCACCGATGTTCCCATATAGATGGGCCACTGGGGATACTACCAACATGTGTGTTAACACAGAATAGCTTGTGTCCTGATAATCCACAGCACCGCTTATTGCGTGCTCATTTCCTGGTGCAGAGCAGCCCAGAGAAAAGCCTGCAGAGCAGGAAAGGATTTTTATATTGTAAATATCTGTGTTCATAACCAGCATCTCCTCGAACAGTTTCGGTTTTCTTGTTTTGGTTTGGTTTTTTCTTTTAAATGATTATGGCAGATAATATAGAAATAGCCCTGAGGTTCATTACACTGGATTGTAAGGCCTCAGCCCTCATTAACTGATTTTTGCTGTCAGTTAGCAACAAATCACCTCCCAGTGTGAGCCTATTAGGACCAGATGACCTGAAAACAAGTGCCACCGCCTCCAGTGGTCTGCTGGGACCCGGTATTAATTAAAGCGAGCCCCTTCCATGTTTGCAGTTGGCAAGCGACGCGGGGAGAAGGCTCATGAAATGACAGATCAGTTGACTTGTGATTGTGCTTCCCATCGTCTTCACCCTCCGTGTCTTTATCTAACAAGAGGGACAAACAAATTGCTTTCTCACACGTACAGAAGAGCAGATTTTGGCTTTATGCTTCTTGCAATTAAACTAGAAGTCTTAGCAAATCTTTGCAAATAGTCTGATTCGTCTCTCATTTTAGAGAGAGAGGAATTGCTGTCAGAGAGAGGCGATGCTTCTCTTTTAGATCCACTGCTACATCTGAGATGCCTGATTTGCAGCCTTTTGGGATGAATGTTTTGAGGAATCAATATTCTTTTTTTTTTTTCAATATTTTTCAGTATTTTTTTCTCCCAATAGACTTTTTTCCACCTACTCCTAGCTCAACACAATTGACAGCGTAGCTTCAGGCAAGGAAAGCTATCCCAGGTCCCAAATTTTATCTCTTCTGCCGTGCAGTACTCAAGTGAAGCAATCACTTGAAGTTAAGGCTACCAAAGGCATCAGAAGGGATAATTTTAAGGCTGAGTGTGAGAAAAGAGGTGAAAAGGCTGAGGTAACAGATCTCTTCCATCTCTAATTCCTTAAGTGACACTTCTGAACCGTCTCTGCCGCTGGGCACGTGCCGAGACCTGGGCTACCCGCTCCGCACGAGCGTGTGACATCTCCCAGCTTCGCTTGTGGCAGACAATATGTTTAGAGGAGTCTGATTACCGTTAAGTAACCTAGATTTCTGTTTCTCCTTCTGTGATTGTAGTTTATTTTTATCACATTCTCCATGCACCAGCCTCCTTCCTGCCTTTTCTTTTGATTGCTCTCATTTTACTGCTTTTTCCGAACACTGAGCAGTAATTGTTTTTTGTTTTTTCGGTTTGGTTTTTTGTTGTTGGTTTTCTTTTTTTTTTTTTTTAAAACAATTGAGTGGATTCCTGTGATTAGGCCTTATTTTCTGATATCTGGCTGCTGTTCATGGTGGTGGTGTACGAAGTGCAATTAATACC